AGAGGAGAGGAGCTCCATTCCAGCTGCAGAGCACACAGCTGAGGCACGGGGAGACCAATTTGTAAGGGCCACAGAGGGAGCCTGCACTAAAGTGGGAAACATAACCGAAGGCTGCCAGGTTCTAGACTAAGCACTGAATTAATGCCCGAAAGGGAATAAAAGAAGCCACACTGAGCAGCACAGACACAGCCTCCTTTTGCTGAAGTACAGCCACAAGGGCTGAATCCCTCCCTGTAATGATATCAATATCCTGATGGCCATCAATATTCAGCTCTATCAATCGCAGTCAGCAAACGAAGACACGAAGGAAACACAGCCATACCTTTTTGTCCCACTGCTGGTGTAAATAACGCAAAAGTATATTTGTCTTTTCTGTTACTATAACTGCCAAAGAAAGAGAGAAACGAGCTGAGGTCATTTTAAAGACAACTTTTTAAACCGTGCAGTAAGACGACATCGTTCCACATGCTAAGGGTGGCCCTTTATATCAAAGGAGGGTGTTTAGGAACAGCAATCACTGAATGCCTTCAGAGGAGAAGCACTGAAAGGCACAGCCAGGCACACGCAGCTAATTGCTGCTGCAGCACTTCAGAACATCACTCGATCTGAAGCCCAAAGCAAGCGAGATTTTGAGCGGCATAACGTTAGAACAATAAATGCTAAGTCAAAACCCACCCCCAAAAGCCCCCAAGCTTTCAGTGGGGCAGACCTACTTTGTTCAGACGGGTATTCTCTCGTGGGAAGATACACCGACGGTCTTCTGTTCTATAGAGGAATCAGAACAGTTGCAGAACAGAGACGGTGAGAAGGTGATTTCTAACTGAAGCACAGCCAACCCAACCACGAGGCCACCAGAAACACAGGCTGCAAACCTCACACCCCACCCGGCCCCTTCTTCATGCTCCTTAGGGCCTTCTGTAAGAAGCTCAACCTCTCACGTGCCTTCATGTGCCAGCTGAACAGATTTTTGCTTGTAGAAGTTTTAGGCTAAAGGCATAAGACCAAAAGCCTAAGTCTATCGCTGAACAATTCGCACACAAAGGCAGCGCCACAGATGTGGTTTGGCTGACGTTGAGGATGCAGAGCAAGCAGGAAGTTTGTCTTGCCAATCTCAGCTCACCAACTGCAGGCACACATGGGTTTTTCTGTTGCTTTTTTTTGTTTGTTTGTTTTAGGAAACAAAACGCTCGTTTCAAATTGATTTGGCCATAGACTCATTTGAAAACCCTCCCCAAGCACCAGGATTTGAGGGCTGACAGGCAATACTTACTGATGCTTTACATACAGAGTCCGCGTGGAATCTGCTGAAGTTGCTTTTGTTGTAGACTGGTAATCCTTTCAAAAAATCCGCCTAAAAAAGACACAGAAGGCAAAGAAAGGAGGAGGTGAGGAAAGGAAGAGTGATATTCCAGCCGCTGTTTGCTTTGTGCTGACTCACAAAGGAGCTGCTGGCTCGTTAAGATAAATGGCTGCAGGATTGGGAAGCAAGTCCACAGCTCTCAGATACCGAAACAAAAACCCGAGGCGGCTTTTGTAAAGGAAGCAAATCCTCTGCTTCTGCATTTGGCTCCTTGTATTCAAGGAGCTCAAGAACTCAGTTATTAAGCTGCTGACCAAAGCCCTGCAGGCACGCAGGCTGCAAAGCAGCACCTATGGGGGGCTGGGTTCGGAGGGAAGGCAGCACAGCCCGGAGCAATCAGCAGCACCAACCAGCACGTGAGAAACGGCACCAGGACTGAAAGGCCCGGCTGTGACACCACAGCGACCAGCTGCTCTTTTGCTTTCGCAGGGAACATTCTTTGTCATAGGCCAAGGCTGATTTCACAAAGCACCAAAAGCCCACGTGGCTGCAAAAGCCCAACCCTTATCAGGCGCTATCAGCACAGCCCAAGCACGAAGGGAAGGATCACAGCCCTTCTGCATCGAAACTACAAAAGAAGGTGCTCAGCAAGTATTAAAGGAGGCAGAAGACGGGCAATAAATAAACGCAGGAGGCAGCAGAGCAAGGAGGAAAGGCCCCAGATGGGCCCCTGTGTCCCTGCTCGGCTGCCTGCGCTGCCACAGCACTCAGAGACTCCGAACCCCACACGGAGGGATGCCGATCCTGCACAGACATCCCTCTGCTCATAAGGGGCAGAAAAGCAGGAGATGAGAAGTCGTGTAACATCCGTGTGAGAGGAGACAAATAAATGGACGCCGCTGCCACAAAGCTGCGGGGTCGGAAGGCGTTGTTTTCATTTCAATAGAAGCTATTATTTTTATTAACACCACATCCCTAACTCAAAACAAAGAGCTATAATTAGCCAAACCAGAAGAGATTATTCATACTCTTGTTCTTGAAAAGAACTCTACCAACGTTTTAGTTTCCACATTCAAGGCTTCCTGTACCTCAACTTTTAGCTAAAATAAGGGACTTGGATTCCAACAGCCGCACGCAAACTGCTCCTGCTTGCCTGGCTCCCTCCAGCAGTGATGGAGGCTGCTTCCCTTTGCCTTCACTGCTTTGCATTGCCAGGGCTGCACGACAGCCCACCTCTCTGAGCTGCAAAAATGCAAAATGTTATTAAAACGATCAGCTAAAATGCATTTTAAATGGAGAACGTGCTGCTCTGGTGGGTTTTTTCCCCCCTCTCTCTAAGCGACTGAAGCAAGACACACACCAGTTAGGCCCCTTGCAAGCAGGCAGGCTGCCATGCACACACTGCACTTGGGGACCTCAGCTCCAACAGGCACAGCCCTGAGCACGGGCTCTCAGCCACCACTCTCCCTCTTCTCAGCCACTTGGGGGTACAACTCCAGCCCCCAGCAACGCTCCCTTTCCTCCCAGGCCTGCTAAATCAGAAAACAACAGAAACACCAGGGCAACTGAGCAACAAAAGGACATTACTCCAGCCCAGGTGTCAGCCAGCACCCCCAGCACTCATCACTCTGGTTTGTAACAGGACTATTCTGCTGGTAACGCTGCTGCACACCTGCACATTTCAACAGTTACACGCTGATGCAATCTCAAAGATCACCAGGAAAGTCCCCTCAGGAGAACTGCCAGGAGCCACATTTCTGGATATTCAGAATGAGACAACATTTGGACTGCAGTGAGTCTTATCTGCTCCAAGGGCACAAGATAACGTAGGCTCAGTAGGTCGTGCCTACACAACTATCACACCAGGCACACCAAGGAATAATCACAACACAATGTCACACAAGGAAATGTTCCTCCTGCACGCCTTCTATCACTCTTCAACCAAAGAAAGCATGTCCAGGCCAAGTCAGTGAAGCAGCTCCTGTGTGGAAGTGAAAAACCAGCACCAGAACCAAACAGGCACCTCATTTCCTTTGGGGAGAGGGAAAGCCCCCAGAACACCACAACAAATGCGATTAAGCAACCTTGGAAGCCAACACTGGTTCTGTGAAGTGAGGTAGAGACTGTTCTGGTGACAAAGGGGTTGCTTAGCTCCCTAGGAAGACGACAGTCCTCATCTAAAAGCAGGAAGGTAATAATAAACCACATATGTGCCCTATTCTCTGCTTTCTGGAAGGAACCGCAGTTACCACGCTCTGGGATATGATGTCCAGAGCACCGACACGGAGAGCAGGGCTCTGTCCCAGCACAGTGTGCACACACAGACCAGGGGAGAGGTGCCAGCGCTGCTCGGGGAGTCGCCCCCGTGTGCTCAACCTCGGTGCACGGAGATCACTGCGAACACCGCCGGGTGCCCCTTTACTTCCTCCAAAAACGCACGGGGAGTGGAGCAGAGAGGAGCCCAAGCGCCCGCTCGGGGCTTCCCCAATAACCCCCACACCCCCCATCCCCTGCACGGACGCAGCGGAACGCCCCGCACCCGAGAGACCCCCAAAACCCCCCTCCGGCCCCCGGCACCGCCCCAACTCTTTCACAGCCCCCTCCACGCAGCCCCAGCCCTCACCACGGGCGCTCCGCCCCTTCTGGAGCCCCCAAGCCCCGAGGAACCCCCAGGCCGCCCCAACGCCCCCCGAGCCGATCCGCCCGCACCGCCATTTTGGGCTCCCACAGCCCCTCGGCCCCGGGCTCGGCTGCCCCCGCTGCAGGGCCCGCTCTCCCTCACGGCCCGGCCCTGAGGGTGCGGCTCTCTCCTCCTCAGGATGGGCCTTCGCCGCCCTCACTCGAGGTTGTGGGCGGGGAAACCGGAGGCTGAGGGCTCTGCGAGACGGAGAGGCCCTCAGGCCGCGCTCCCCTCAGCCGGGGGCGCCGCCATTTCGGGCGGGGGTCGCACACCTACCATCTTCGCCGCCGCCAGCCGGGAGGAGCCGCCCCTCCCCCTCCGCACAGCTTCTGCCTGCCGTCGCTCGCCCGCCCCGCGCGCTCCTATTGGCCCGCGCAACGCCCCGCCCAGCGCCTATTGGGCGTCGCAGTCGTCAGTCAGCGCACCGCTGAGGAGTCTGGGATTCGGTTGAAGCAGGAAATGCCGCTCGGAAAGCGGAGGAGGGTGGGAGGAACCCGGATGTGGCACCGGCCGCGGGGCATGCTGGGAGCGGTAGTCCGCGCGGAGCTGCCGCGCATCGCGTTTCTCCTCTGCTCTCGTTGATGAAAGCACTGTTAATTACGTGTTAGCAACGAAGCAATTCATTAGCAGCGCTGGGGACGCACGTGCAGCGCCACCAGACAAATCCCAAGCCCTGCCTCTGGGCCTGCTCAGGGCTCTCAGTCCACTCACGAGTAATTTGCTAACAAACGTTGGCAGCTTCCCTTGGCTGGTGCAGGTGAGCACAGCTCTGAGCACACTTGTGGGGCTCCCCTCTCCCTTCTAGTCCAGTGCTGCTGCCAAGGCCTCCACGCTTCTCAGCGCCTCCCACAGATAGCAGAGCAGAGCAGACACACTGTGGACTTGGCCAATGTAAACTAAAGTTCTCTCTGCCATCAGCCCTTGCTCCACATCCCCAGAGGCACCCTAGTGTATGCAAACCTGTGAACAAGCTGGCTTTCCTCTCCCTATTATCTCTGCACCACCAATTATTGAAGAGAGTTCAGCGCAAGTTGCTAGGCTTTAATTAATGCTTGTGTTTTCACAAGGTGATCTTACAATTGTACACACAAGTGGCAACAACCTCACAATTAGAAAAGCAGAAAGCAGCCATCAAACAAAGCCCTTGGAGGCCGCTCTCAGTGCAATTCCCCACACGCTTCCAACACGGGAAGAGCAGTCGGTCACTGCTGCCCATCACAGCCCTTCTCTCAGTACAAGGACCCAAGATGAGGTGCTCCAAACCCATAGCAGCTCCAGGGCTCTGTTCCAGCTCACCCCACACCAAACCTTCAGTGGGTCAGAGACTTCCTGCCTTTCAGCATGCGCCGGAGGATCACCTCGATCCCAGCCGGTGTGCTGATGCGTTTGATCCAGCCGTGGGTCCGTTTGCGCTTGCGGTTGTTGGGCTGATACTCGTTCCCACGCGCTTTTGTGCGGATCTGCTGATGGCTCCAGGAGGGCACTGGGCTGGTGAAGGAGGGGATGGTGCCTGTGGGCTTCAAGGAGAGGTGGCTGAAAGGCAGCTCCCGGCAATGTGTGAAGACTGATGCTGACAGGAGCTGGGAGGGATGGACTGCAACTTGCTGGAGCAGAAAAAGCCTTTGGAAAAGCAAAATAAATAAATGAACACAAATAAATAAAGATTTGAAAAGTGGGTTAATACGAACCAAATAAGGTTTAACAAAGTTAAGTGCAAGACGTTGCACTTGGGTCAGGGCAATTCCAGATATGTATACGCAATGGGAGAACCCAGTGCGTGAAGCCCTATGGAGAAGCACTTGAGGGTCGCGGTGGCCAAAAATGCTGGATATAAGCCAGCAGTGCGCACCTGCAAACCAGAAAACCAACTGCATCCTGGACTGCATCATCAGGGGGGTAACAGCAGCAGGGCAGGAAGGAACCACCCTCCCTGTTCTGCCCTTGTGAAGACCTGTCTGCAGGGCTGTATCCAGACCCGGGGCTCCCAGCACAGGAAGTTTGTGGAGTTTTTTGCGCGGGTCCAGAGGAGGGCCACGAAAGTGCTGAGGGTGCGAACAGCCTCCCTGCGAACAGCTAAGGGAGCTGGGCTTCTTCAGTCTGGAGAAGGCTCCAGAGAGGTAAACCGAGGGATTTCCGGCCGCAACGAGCGGGCCGACCCCACCGAAGAAGGGACTCCTGCCCGCCCCTCTCGGTCCCGTCGCTCCGTCCCGCCTATTACCTGCCGCCAGCGGCCCGCTCCCACAGGCGGCCCAGCGCGGCCGCCATCGTCTCTGCTCCGCCTGACAGCACCGTCCTCCCAACAACGCCGCCCCCTATTGGCTCCCTCTGCTTGGCCAATCACAGGTGGCAAAAAGGGCGCGTGCGCGCTGGGTGGGAACGGCATTACGTATAACGTGACGGCCGCGGGGGGTGATGGGATTTGTAGTCCTGCAGGGGGCAGCGCACGCAGCGCTGTTACTATGGCGACGACCTCGGGGTTCGGCCTGAATCGCCAGGGCTGCGAACGTTTCTCCCGGTTCGGTGCTTCCTCCAAACGCTGCATTATCGCTTGTCCAAACTGTGCTGCTGAGGTTGCTTCCAGGACAGAGCAGCGCCGCATGCACTGTGCACCTGCAGGCAGGATTCCTCAGCCCGTTCTGCTCCTGAATGCCATTTTCAGCCCTTTTCAGAGCAGGGGAATGAATGGCAGACAGGAGGAGGGGGCTGACGGTGATTCACGGACCACCAAGATGGACCTCACCGCCCTCACTGCCTGCCCCACGCATACAGGGGGTATAAATGCAGCTCCCCCCAAACCAGGGACGTGAAAATAAACGGATAAATGAATGAATGCACGATAAACATTTGTCGTTTTCTGTTTGTCTTTGTGTCGCAGCCTCTGCCTGCTGTGAGCCTGTGCTCCCTGCGCTGAGCTCTGACACGTTCACAGCATGGCTGCACTTGTGGGAAGCCACAATGACCACAGCAGTGAGAGAACAGCAAAAGGCTTCTCCTGCACGACGAAGGCAGGGATTAAAAGCAAGTCCTGGTCACAGGCACTGTGCTGATGGAGGAAAACCCCATCTCAGCTGGAGCACCGCAACCAGCAGCAGCCAGAACTCATCCCACTGCAAGGGCCAAAGCCCAGAGCCCCTGCACAGCCCCCCTGCTCCTGGCAGGCCTCCATGGGCGGGCAGCTCGGTGTGCTCGGTTCAGCGTTGACTGGCAAGTCCTCTTGTCTGTCAAGCAGAAAGCCCTCCTCCTTAGGAGGGATTTAAGGGGCTTTCTATGGCTGTAGACTACAAGGACAAATAGCACCCCCAAGCCCCAGAGCTCGGGTATGAAGCTCCTCGCTCCGCCGGGGCTCATGGGGAGAAGATGGAAGGAGAAATTGCAGTCTAAAGCCGATGAGCTGAGCTGAAGGCACTGCTCCATCCTTCCCACCACAGGCAAAAAAATGTGATCAGAGGAGCCGACCAGCTGAGCAGCCCGCCAGCTCCCGCATCCTGCTCCTGCTGCCTCGCATCTCCTCTTCTCTCCCTTTGCCTCCTGCGAGAGCAAGCCTTTCATTTGCAACCTCGACTCCCGACAATCCCTGTCAATAAATGAGGTGAGCGTGCCGTTCCGTCCCTCTTTGCGGTGCTCGGAGCTGTGATGCAGGGCATGTGCTGCAGCAGAGGGGAGGAAGGTGCTCTGCACGGGGAGCAAAATGGCCAAAGGATCTGCTTGGAGGCTGAGAGCTGAAGGGCTTTGAATGGGGCTGCAGGGAGACGAGGGGAGGCAGCAGCTGCTGAGCAGCACGGCTGCTTGTGCTGTCACAGCACTGCGCTATGAGCGCGCTTTGAGCGCGGGGTTGAAGCTGCCCGGTGATAAAACTTAGGGACGGCTTCTCGTTGTGATGCAATTACAGTCAGTGATTGCTGGCTCCGGAGGAAGACCTGCTGTTGCTATGTGCGTGGCAGATCTGCTCGGCTTTTCGGTTGCAGAGTGAGGGGGGCACCTGCATGCATCGCTGCCCGGCGGAGGGGGGCAGGGTTTTCTCCTTCCTGCTCCTTGCAATGCTCCAGGCTGCTCCTGGAGGCTGTAGGACATTTGCAGCTGAAGGACTGGGGGCAGCTTTGCAGCGATGCGGTGGGAGCTGGCAGGATCCCCCTGGAAATCCAGGAGGGCTGGGGGTGGGGGGGCGAGGCAGTGTGTCAGCCACAGAGGTCAGACGCAGGTTACTCCTCTGTGCATTGCATAATCTTTTGTTTCTCAAGGTCTTCTTCCTTCCTAAAGAGAGACGTGTGGCAGGCAGCCAGCCCTGGCTCCAGGCTGCTCTATGTGCAATAGGTGCTTTCCCCGCAGCACTGCTTCTCCACTCGGTGCCATTTGCATCCTGCAGGGCCCTCAGCACAGCCCTGCACCCAGGGCCCTTCAGGCTGTGCCTGCTGAGGGTCTCAGGGCTGCCTGGTTGGTTCCTCACCCCTTATTCCTGCATGCCCTGATAAAGCTGCTGCTGCTGTATCAGGCCAAGCCGGCCGGGTGTAACAATAAACCCAGGTCCTTTCCACCCACCCGAGTGCTGTTTTGGGTTCCCCCAAAGGGAAGTTTACTTTGCAGGGCCGAAGTGGCATCAACGTTTTCTTGTGCTTTATCTGAGGCTGGTGCTTAAACAGGTGTTGTCTTTTCGTGCTTCTCGATGCTGTAATTTCTCCCCTTTGCAGAGTGAATGAATGGGAGAGGATGGAAAGAGCATAACGATATTGGCCCATTCCTCAAGAGTGTCGTGTGTCATCATTAATACTCGCGAGCCCCGGAGGGAAGGGATTAGAGCTGAACAAATTATTATGGCAGGTCGGATTCTGGCTGCAGCGCATCTCACGCTCCTCCTCATGTCTCTGGCACCTCTCCTCTGAGGATCTGCAAGGAATTAGCAGATATGAATCCCTGCTGCTCCCTGCGGGGGCCCAGGGCTGTGTGTGCTGGAAGGGCTTGGAGGTGCTGAGCAGTGGGGCTACAGGAGCGTTGTGGCACAGGGGGAGCAGAAGCCATCCACAGCCATCAGCTCCTGCAGTAGCGATGCTCTTGGCTCAGCAATTGGGGCCAAATGTTTAGCAGGGCTTCTGGCAAGGACAGGTTCAGTGCCATGATGGAGAAACGCAGCAGCATCCTTGCCCTCCTCCTGCCCCACAGGCTCCATGCCAGTCCCACATGGCTGCCTGTCACGCTACCATGTCAGGCTTTCTGCCCTCCGCACGTCGGATCGCGTCCAATTTCTCTCCAGCTGTGACATGGTGCCATCAAGTTGTGTAAAATCAGAGGCTCCGCAGCCCAAAGTAGGTCAGTAAGTTGTTTTTGCCAGCTGGGCTGTCGGCAAGCAGGGAGGAGGCGCAGAGGTTGGAGCTGGAGGATCCTGCAGCAATGCCCACATTTGGGGCACGGAGCCCTGGAGCTGGGCAGCACATCAGCCTCCCTCCATCACTGCTATAGCATCCTTCGCTCCTCTGCTGCTGTGATAGGAGAGATTTCCCAGGGGAAGCCGTGACTTTGGGGTGACACAGGCATGGGTAGCAGCTCACGGTGATGCTCTGCCCCCTCCTCAACCTCTGGGGATGCTCTGCTACGCTCCTGGCCTGGCGCCGTGCCTGACTCAGTGTTGTGCCTGGCCTTATGTAAGTGGTGCCGAAATCTCACTCTGCTGGGGGCGGCACTGGAAGGTAGCCGGGATGAAGGGGGGGGGGGGGGGGGAGGGAGAGAGGAAGAGCAGCTCATCGCCATGGTTACCAGCATCTTCACTAAGTTCTTCACATCCATCTGGCTTCATTTGCAGCCCTTTCATCTGGCGGAGGGAGGGAACGTCCCTTGATGTTTCTGGTTGCGGCAGACGGAGAGGTGGGAGGTGGGAGACAGGCAGCTCTCTGCCCCCCGCCCCGCTGCAGAGCCCTCCTGCCCCTCCGTTACACACCGGGCTGCGCTCTCTGCCATGATTGAGTCAGGGCTTTCACAGCTCCAGAGCCAAAGCATGGGCTGCCAGGTCTCAGGCTGTGAGCCCCAAGCCATGCATTGCTGTTAGGGACAGAGCCTGCCCTGCTGCTCCCCTCCTCCTCCACCAAAGCAGACCCAGGGGCAGAGCTGGGCTCCTGGATCTGCCTGCAGAGCTCCTGTGTGCAACAGCCTTCCAGCAAATCAATTCTGGAAACGAACAGGATGGACTAATTGAGTTAATCCTGCGAAGTTAATCAATGTCAAGTCAGGTTGGCCAGAAGTCCTGTTTATAATCCACGCGGAGATCATTAGTGCCCTGTGAAATGGAGGTGCAGGGCAAATCCTGGCTCCATGGAAATCAGAGTTGGAAGGCATGCTGGGGTGCCTGGGTGCTGCAGGCTGAGCGCAATGGGATCCAGCAGGACAGCAGCTGGATCCCACAGCTGCACTTCTGCCCCTGCCACCAAATCCACTCTCCTCAGTTCTCCACCTGCCCCTGTTTCTTGGTGCTTTGGACTGCGCTCTTCCAGCATTGCTGCTCCAGAAGTGCAGTGGGACCAATGGGCAAAGCTCGAGCCTGGCACCCAGCTGGTGCTCAAGACACGGTGAGAGCAGAGCTGTTCTCCATCCCAGCGCAGAGGCACCAGGGATCTTCCAGCCAGGAGCTCCAGCAGCTCCACTGGGCAGCTCCACTCCTGCCAGGGCTGCACTCAGCTTCCCCATCCAGGGCCTTGAGATCTTTTGCTCTTAATGCAGAAATGCTGCTGGGAACCAGGCTGTGCACGCTGGGGCTGCAGGGAGCCCTGAGCAGGATGCAGCCGAGCTCCAAACGCATTCAATTACCAAAGCTGCAGGCAGAGCCCTGAGCCCAGGCAGCCTCCAGGCCGGGTTTTGTTTTGCTGATTCCCTCTCGTGCGCTGCCAGCATTGCTGCTGCAGTGCTGTGTGCTCTGAGCGGTTGCTGGGGGAGTTAAGCAGGCTGCAGCGGGGATGGTGGTGTTTAATTCCCCTTGGGAAAGCGTTCTTCCTTCCCCTCCATCCCTGGGGGTTTCTGCTCTGTAACTGCAGCCGTTGCTGGGGGGTCTGCTGGATCCCCCCGGTCCCCACTGTGAATCGCTTTGCTGAGCAGATCCTCAGCATCAATAATTCAACGTACAGAGCTGCATCCATAATAAATGTGCATCAGCCTGGTGGAACGGGGGGGAGGGAGGGAGGGCAGGAACGTCCCCAGTGCTCCAAGTGCCCCCTGAGCTCAGAAACGGGCCGAGCACCTCTGGAAGAGCACACAGCACGGGCTGGGCCAGCGCTGGGGCCAGAGGGACTGTGCTGTGGTACCCCAGCCCCACGGCCTCCCCCCATCCCACTGTGGGGAGGGGGGCTGCCCACCCTCC